GGGGGGGGGGGTTTCCCACCTGGAGTAGGAGGCAGATTTTGCAGCCTCCCACCTCTGAAGGGCCAGTCTCACCTGGGCTGGCCTCTGGGTTGGCCCTTGCCAACAGGACACAGTGGGCCAAGGGCAGGCTGGGAGGCGTCTGGAAGGAGGATGGCAAGATTGCTTTTATAGCATTCAACAACACCCTGTGTGCGTGCTGAGCCTCAGCCTTCATGGCCTCATTGAGGCTGGGCCACAATGGAGGGGCTTCCTCTGCAGGCAGGGCTTCTGCAGGCTCTCCCTCTACCCCAAGAGTCACAGCCTGGCCGGACTCAGACCCCTCTAGATACTGGTAGCTTTGGGTGCTTGTAGAAAATGATATATTATGCCATAGAGAAGTTGGCATCTTAGATCTGATTGCATTTTGGATTTTCCTTGTGTTAGGAAACATAAAACATCCTATTTAAGCCCAGGGAGAGCTGTGTGAGAAGGCTGCTCTCTTTGCACTTGTGGGGCAGCCTGAGGCTCCTATGAGGGTATGAATTCATCTTCAGGAGAGAGTGTCTGCCCCCTTCCCTCAGCATCATCAAGAGCACTTACAGCTCATGGCCACGGGAGAGAGGGAAGACACAACCCTGCCTTGCTGAAGCTCAGTGACAGCAGAGGCAGAGGGGAGGGATGGTGGTAGGGTGTGGGTGCTTGGAGAGGGGCTGCCAACAGCCCAGCACACAGGGCTGTCTCCACACTCCACCTCTGACCTTTGTTCCTTCCTGAACTGCAGGCCAGGTGCCATTGGGCCCTGTTCTGCAACCAGGGACAAATTCTGTTACTGCAGAAAGCCCTCTGGGTCAAGAGTTCTAAGCTGCCACTCTCAGGAAGTATGGGGTGAGCTCCTGGAGGCCCCTCTTCTACCTTTTTTACCCCTAAAGAGCCACTGCCTGCAGTGGCGCTTGAAGACAGTGGCTCTGTTGCCATCTGCTTGGTTCCTTTGGCATCTTAAAGTTGTCACATCTATCCTGAAGCTATCCCACTCAGACCCTGCCCTGCCCTCCCCTGGGTCCACCCAGCACCCCGTGTCTGCACACAGCGGAGACGCTACCTCGGAAGTTATTCAATGTAATTAGCAAACGTCATCCACAACCAGGAATTCTCTACACTGTGCTTTTCTCAGGTTCTGCTTTCATCCTCTTCCCATTGAGCTTCCTATTTTCATGGCTCTAGGTGAGCTGGAGGTAGCGGGCCTCTTGAACTGTGTGCGCTTAGCGGGGGCATAGTGGGCAAGAGACCCTGAGAGGCTGGGGGCTGATTGTTTGAGACCAAGCAGTGCTTTCTGGGAGATTGGGCAGAAGTAGGGTCCAGTCCACAGACTGTGGGGAACATGCAGTGTGCCTTCCTACTGCCTTCCTACAAGGGAATTACAGTGACACTCAGAACCCTGTGCTGGAAATACTTCCTCAGTGGTGGGGCATCACTGTTGTCCATGGAGAGGTGCTGGTTGGTTTGTGCCTGTGGAGAGCTGCCGAGGAGGTGGGGGTCTGGCCTTCCCACTGGTCTTGTTTCTGTCATTATTTATACCTTAGCAATGGAAAGCTCTGTCATCTTTGTCATTGGAATGTGTCATGTAAGCAAGCAGCAAATGACCGACTGGGTAAACGTAGAGAAGGCAGGCAGAGCATGGGGTAGCTGCAAAGGTTGGAGCACTCAACTGTGGAAGAGCATTTAAACCAAATGCCCTGATTCGGATACTATGGCTTCCAATCATTTCAAAAGTGGGGTGTAGCTTCAGGGAACTTATTGAAGTGACTGGGCCAGAACTAGTTTGTCTCCTGTGCAGAGGCTTCCTGAAAGGCTCTTGCCTCTGGGATGTACCACTAGGCCCTGCTACTTGGAAAGGAGATTGTAGGTAGAATTGGGGATGCATAAGCTGGGGTCATCAACAAAGAGCATTCTTTGTGGAATTTACTTCCTTTCTCAGACTTATGCTTGTGGATTGGTTAAAATTAAGTGTTACTGGCGATGGTGACCTGCGGTGCCTGAGTTACCACCTCAACTCATAAATCAGCATTCTCACGAAGTCACTTTAGTTTTTAAAAAGGCAACTTAAAATACTTTCTGAAGAAAACAGCTTATGGGAAACTTTCCATAAGAAAATAAAAAATGATGGGCATGTTTGTGGGGCTTGAGGTGGTGAATAGTAAAAGGGATATTGTTCTGGAAAGTAGTGGACAAGGTGGACATGTGATCTGCTTAGTCCTTGTTTGACAGACATCACCACCTTTTTAGGGTCAAGCCCCAGCCAGGGAGCCAGCTGAGTGACCTGAAGAGAGGCTCCTTAGATATGCCAAGTGGGAAGCAAGGGAAACACCCCTCAGAGGAGAGTTTCAGAGACCCACGTCTCCTTTCCTGCTTGCAGCTTGCATCCTGTGATCTAGAACACCCTGCAATATCTTGGCCCTGAACAGGGTTTCCACCCAAAGCCCATGCTTTCAAGGAGGGTTCTGAGGCTCTTGATGGACCCCAAATTTCCCCTCAGCAGGAGGGTGAGGTGAAGGAAGACGGCGAACTTTTGGCTCCTGGAGTTGGGGTATCTTTTCTCCCTAAACCCCTGCCGCTTTTAAAAAAGAAACAGCACATGCATTTCTGTTGAACGTTGACAGGGTATTTTATAATGGGTGAGATAGGTGGAGGATTTGCTTGTTATGAGGAGGCTGAGACGGGATGGCCGCGCTGTTCCATCGTGTCTTGTTAGTGCTCTGTGTTGATGCCTTTAGATGCCTCCAGCTCAGTCCATGTCGTGGTTCAAGGCGGGTTCGCTCCTCGAAGCGCCATGGCATGAAATGGAGGTGCCTAGAAGCAAGAAGAAAGGTACAGTACTGCAAGTCGGCCTTGATCTGTTTATGTATTTCTAAACTATGTTTGCCATTTTATGTCTGTACTGTTTGGAGGCGGGATGGGAAGGAGGACTTGAATTATAGACATGTGTATTTAATAGATGGAGACCTGTCCTGTGTGAGCCAGGACATTGGTGATCAGCTGTCCCACCGCCTTGCACATGGTGGGTGGTCTGGGGAGGCATCTGGAGTAAATGGTTGGTGGGGGCCACAGCTTAGCAGGCTTTATTGGCTGATAGCAAGGTATTGGAATTGTGTGTCACAGTTACTGCTGGAAGAGGTGATGATGGGCAGCAGGAGTGCTGCCAACTCTGTTCTTTCTCTTTCCCTGTGAGGTGGGAGGCAGGGGCTCTGAAACACCAGGTAGGGCTCTGGGTTCCAAGGACTCCATGGCATGAAATCTCCCCCCTTTCCTCCACCACCTCACAGAGAAGCAGGGTCCTGAGCGGAAGAGGATTAAGAAGGAGCCTGTCACCCGGAAGGCCGGGCTGCTGTTTGGCATGGGGCTGTCTGGGATCCGAGCTGGCTACCCCCTCTCTGAGCGCCAGCAGGTGGCTCTCCTCATGCAGATGACAGCCGAAGAGTCTGCAAACAGCCCAGGTAAGACCCCATGTTGGTGGGTGGTGGGTGTTTCCTGGGACTTGAGAGGCTCTCTCCCTGGGGATGGAGACCCATGCAAAGGCGTCCTCTTTGCCTCATGAAGACGGCCCAGGTCCTGGAGGTTTCTACAAAGCAGGGACATCCCCAGGCCCAGCCTCACTGGCTCTACCCCCAGTAATTCTCTGCCTGTCCTTTCCTTGGCATGCAGTAGATACAACACCAAAGCATCCCTCCCAGTCGACAGTGTGTCAGAAGGGGACGCCTAACTCTGCCTCAAAAACCAAAGATAAAGTGAACAAGAGAAACGAGCGTGGGGAGACCCGCCTGCATCGAGCTGCCATCCGGGGAGATGCCCGGCGCATCAAGGAGCTTATCAGTGAGGGGGCGGATGTCAATGTCAAGGACTTCGCAGGTGAGCTCTCACAGTGCCCAGAAGATGGCAGGGCAGGGGGACCTTGCAGCAAATTTACAGGAGGATGTGAGGCTGGCTTCCCCAGAGGCACAGAGCCCTCTGGCCAAGTGTCATCATCCTGGCAGCAGTAGTCTTGTACTTGGGATCAGCATAGTAGGAGCAAGAGCCAGTTCCTGGGCCCATGTGGTTCTATAGGTGTGTTCTAGATGCATGAAGCAGACCCCACTCTTACACCAGTATAATTTGCTGTTTCTGAGATGGAGAAATTAGTAGTTCTTGGGAAGTATTTAAAAATAAAAATTTTTTTCATTATTTTTAAGAGAATGGAGGAATTTTTAGCTATATTACTGTGCTGTGCTATATAAACCCCAGTTCTGTACTAAAGGGTTCATTCTTCCTGGCTCCTCAAGGAGTGCCCCTGGCATATTTAGAAAGAAGTAGGTCACCCAAGCAGAGGGTGCCTCTGTGCCTGTCAGCCCAGGTCACCTTCTCATCTCCCAGGGAAGAAGTATCACCCTGAGAGTCTCCTTTTAATATAAGACAAATGGGTATGTCTCCCTGACCCGAAACAGGCCGAGGGAGGGCCCTATGACTGCCGTTCAGTGTTGCCTTTTTTTGCATAAAATACTTCCCTTATGCATGATGTGCCATCAGCAGGTGTGAGTTGTTCAAGGGGAATGAGAACATGAGATGAGCAAGCAGTCTTCATGCAGAATACTTCTAGATTTTTCCCATTGCCTTAGTTGATAGTATCTGACCAAAACCTAATTTAGCTCCTTTTTTAAAAAAACAACAAACCATTTTCCTATGTGAAGATTTTTCATAGCACTGGAATTTGTGTCCAAAGGAGTAGGCTCAGTTTGTACACTGATATGTGTGGCCACTCTACCTGGTGGCAGATTGAGGCTCCAGGCTACTGCCAGGGGAATTCTCCAGGTATGCCTCATCTGTGTACTCCACAGAGGGCGTGTTTCCACAGTGGGAGGTTTTCCTCCCCATGTGCTGATGGATGGATGAGCCAGGCTGAGCCTGCCCCCCATGATGCTGTATTCACTAGTCCTCCACCCTTATTGCTCAAGATTATCCCTGCAGGTGGTTAATCTATAGGGTTAACAAGCCAAATATCCCTGGGAAAACGAGGTACCACAGTAAAGCACATTCAGGGCTTCCCTAGACCTCTAGCCTTTCAGTGCAGAGCAACACCTCCACGGCTTTTTTCTGTCATCAGTGTTCTCAGAGTGCTGCTTTGAGACAGGAGTGATGTTCCTGAGGATTAAATAACATATGTCCTAAGTGTCTGTTTCCAGGCTGGACAGCGCTGCACGAGGCATGTAACCGGGGCTACTACGATGTTGCCAAGCAGCTGCTGGCTGCAGGTGCAGAGGTGAACACCAAGGGCCTGGACGATGACACACCCCTGCATGATGCCGCCAACAATGGGCACTACAAGGTGGGTCTCCTATCTGACTTCTACATCATTCCGTAGCTCCTGTCTCTGTCTTTGTTGTCCCTAATGTCTGCTGGGTAACTGAGAAGTGAGCCTTTGTCCTTCACCAGAGCTGACCTCTCTGACCATCCTAGCTTTTTTATCCTGGGTCAGCACCTGGATGGCCTTTCACAGTTCCAGCCACCAGTACTATCTGCAGTGTGTGTGACAAGAGGCCTGCTCTGGCCATGCAGGTGTAGTTGGATTTTAGTAGGTGGATGATCATGCCCATAGGAAGGGGGGCCTTGGGGATTGCTGCTGGACCCTGCTCGTCCCTGTAGTCTAGGAAGGCCTTGGCTGATGTAATGCTGAGAGGTGTAGCCAGGCCAACAACAGTGAGTTCCCCAGTGCACGGGTTCCCCTGAAAGGACTTGGCCTCCTTGGGGAAACAACTACCTCCAGGTCTGAAGCAGGAGATGTACATGATGTGCCTGGTTCATCTTGTGCTACCAGAAAACGGGAGGGGGATCACAAAGATGAGGTGGTCTTGCTGCAGTCATTACCAGAGCCATCTTGAAGAGGCCCTTGGCTAAAGATGGGACAGTTGAGCATGGTGAGGATGATGACACCAACAGACCAGAACATACCACGGCTGTTTGGATTCATAATGCTCCTTATGGCATCTGTGCCTGGTCATTTTTGGCAGATACCAGGGAACTAGTAGCATCAAGAGTATGATGAGCATAATCTGACAAATCATTGCAGGGGAGAGACAGATTGGGAGGACACTCTGAATTAAAAGATTTCTGAGACAACTAGAGAAATGTGAACACTGATTATATATTTTATGTTAGGAATTAGAGTTAACTTTTTTTGTAAGATAATGGCATTATAGTTTCTTGTTTTTAAAAGACCCTTTTAGAAAAATATACTGAAAAGGTTAATGAAATGTCTGTGATTTGCTTAAAAATACCTGGGGGAATGGGCAGGTGTGGCTGATTGTGAGCTGGTAGGTGATGAGGTAGAGAGGAAGAGGGTCATCATTTGAATCTCTGTACTTTTGTAATTGTCATTTTAAAACTTTCTGTTATGGAAAATGCCAAAGAGTGTGGAATCATGGCAAGGGAGGCAGAATAATGGCCCCAAAGATACCCTATCCTGATCCTGGAACCTGTGACCTCACATGGTAAGGGGACTGCAGATGGGAGAAAGTGAAGGGCCATGAGATGGGAGATGATCATGGATTATCTGGGCTGGCCCAGTGGCCTTCAAAGGTCCTAACAGATCCTTTCCCAGCTGGGTCAGAGTTGCAAGCAGAGGCAGGAGAGATGAGGACGTGAGGGAGCCCTGACCTGCACTGCTGGCATTAGAGGCAGGGGCCGTAGCAAAGGAATGCAGTGGCCTCCAGCAACTGAGATGGCCCTCAGCTGGCAGACAGCAAGGACACAGAACCAGAGTCCCCCCCACTGCAAGAAACTCTTCACGCAAGGAAAGGAAAAAGCCAATACCACACATCAGCTGGGTCAGCAGGACTGATTTCGGACTTCTGACCTCCAGGATTGTAAGACGAAGGTGGTGGTGATTTGTTAGAGCAGCAATAGGAGACTGTCCTGATGAAGCAGTAGAAACTAACTACTGAATGAAAATAGAATATGTGGGTAACAAGTTACATCCTTTTTAAGATTCTTCTCATGCTCTAATCTCAGACTGGACTAAAGTTGAGATTGAATTTAATATTTGTACTTGAGTTCAGTGAATCAGCTGTCCTGGGCATACGAAGCACAGGTTGCTGATTATAAACATTTGAACAGAGCTGTTGAAATGTCACCGTGAGTGTTTCTGTCATTCACACGACCATCCTTACCCATGATTTGTCAAATAAAGCAGAGATAATCTTATTTTCTAAAATAAATGAAAACATAAAATAAACCCGCTTGCAGAAGCTTGTTCTTTGTTTCCTCTATTCTGTAAATCCCCCTCCAATAAAAAACTTCCCCCTAAACTACCAGAACCCTTTCATGACCACTGGATCATTGGCAGGAGGGGAGATCCTGTGTGAGAAGATTCCGGGAAAGTGGTCGACTCGTCGAGAGGGAGGAGGTCCTCTGTGGGAGTTGGGACTGTTCTACCTGCAAGAGGGCCTGGAAGGGGTGCCAGGACTGTTAGGGTCCTTCCTATGGGAGAGGCACAGATCTAGAGATCCCATCAGAAAGTGCTTTGTATACAACTTCTAGCCTTTTGCCTGGGGGTTGTTCCCTGATTAAGCTCAAGGTTCCCTGACAAGTTACAGTTTTATACAGGCACCATAGCACAGTCGGTGTTCTCAGAACACACCCTCAGGCGCCTGCTGCTGTCTTGTAGGTGGTGAAGCTGCTGCTGCGGTACGGAGGAAATCCTCAGCAAAGCAACCGAAAGGGCGAGACGCCGCTAAAGGTGGCCAACTCCCCGACCATGGTGAACCTCCTGTTGGGCAAGGGCACCTACACATCCAGTGAGGAGAGCTCGACTGGTCAGTGGCTGGGCACCAGGCCATATGCAGGGTGGGGGGTCACGGGGGTGGGAGCAGAGTGTGTGACACTGCTGGGTACAAGCCTCCTAATACTGCTGTGATGTCAGAGGCAACGTTGGCTTTCATTTGCAGGTCAGCACACCGGGTCCCAACCTCCTAGACACCTGGTACTTACAGGAACTTCTGTACTGTGAGGACCTGGGGTTTCAGTACCAAAAAGCCTGCAGGCTTATCCTAAGATGCCAGCCTGTCTTCACACAAACCTCTCTTTGGTTTCCTTCAGCCCATAGTTGGCATCAGATTTCACGAACTCAAATGAAGTGCTTCTGTGGGGGGCTTCCCCTCTCATCCTTGGGGTGACCGGTGCTTGGGAAGGCCTTTCTCCAGGTCACCTCTGCAGACAGCTTTCGCCCATCGTGTCTGCAGGTGTTTTGAACCTGCCTTTGACATCTTTCTCCTTATTTCCAACAGAGAGCTCGGAGGAGGAAGACGCCCCATCATTTGCACCTTCTAGTTCAGTTGATGGAAATAACACGGACTCTGAGTTTGAAAAAGGCCTAAAGCACAAGGCTAAGAATCCAGAGCCCCAGAAAACTGTGACCCCTGTCAAGGACGAGTATGAGTTCGATGAGGATGATGAGCAGGACAGAGTCCCTCCAGTGGATGATAAACACTTACTGAAAAAGGATTACAGAAAAGAGACTAAATCAAATAGTTTTATTTCTATACCCAAAATGGAAGTGAAAAGTTACACTAAAAATAACACGATTGCACCAAAGAAAGCAGCTCATCGCATTTTGTCAGACACATCAGATGAGGAGGACATCGGAGTCACTGTGGGGACAGGAGAGAAGCTGAGACTCTCGGCACACACAATTTTGCCCAGTAACAAAACACGGGAGCCTTCTAATTCCAAGCAGCAGAAGGAAAAAAATAAAGTGAAAAAGAAGCGAAAGAAAGAAACAAAAGGCAAAGAAGTGCGGTTTGGGAAAAGAAGTGACAAGTTCTGTTCCTCTGAGTCAGAGAGTGAGTCCTCGGAGAGCGGTGAGGACGACAGGGACTCAGTGGGGAGCTCTGGCTGCCTCAAGGAGTCCCCGCTGGTGCTGAAGGACCCATCCCTGTTCAGCTCCCTGTCTGCTTCCTCCACCTCGTCTCATGGGAGCTCTGCCACCCAGAAGCATAACCCCAGCCACACAGACCAGCATGCCAAGCACTGGCGGACAGACAATTGGAAAACCATTTCTTCTCCTGCCTGGTCAGAGGTCAGCTCCTTATCAGACTCTACAAGAACGAGACTGACCAGTGAGTCTGACTGCTCCTCGGAGGGCTCTAGTGTGGAGTCACTGAAGCCAGTGAGGAAGAGGCAGGAGCATAGGAAGCGAGGCAGCCTGCAGAGCGTGCCGTCGGAGAAGAGGAGCTCCTTCCACCCCAGCGTGGACGGCGCCATCCCCAAGCTAGACAAGGAGGGGAAAGTGGTCAAGAAACATAAAACGAAACACAAACACAAAAACAAGGAGAAAGGACTGTGTGCAGTCAGTCAAGAGCTCAAATTGAAAAGTTTCACTTATGAATACGAAGACTCCAAGCAAAGGTCAGACAAAGCTATACTTTTAGACAATGACATTGCCACTGACAACAAGTTAAAAGTATTAAAGCACGATAGAGACCACTTTAAGAAAGAGGAGAAGCTTAGCAAATTGAAAGCAGAAGAAAAAGAATGGCTCTTCAAAGATGACATCATAAAGGTCTCCAAAGATGAAAAGTCACTCAAGAGAATCAAAGACACAAACAAAGACATTAGCAGGTCTTTCCGAGAAGAGAAAGAGCGTTCAAATAAGGCAGAAAAGGAGAAATTAGTGAAGGAAAAGTCTCCAAAAGAGGAAAAACTGAGACTATACAAAGAGGAAAGAAAGAAAAAGTCGAAGGACAGGCCCTCAAAATTAGAGAAAAAGAATGATTTCAAAGAAGACAAAATTTCAAAAGAGAAGGAAAAGACTTTCAAAGAAGATAAAGAAAAACCCAAAAAAGAAAAACTTTACAGGGAAGATTCTGCTTTTGATGAGTATTGTAACAAAAGTCAGTTTCTTGAGAATGAAGACACCAAATTTAGCCTTTCCGATGATCAGCAGGATCGGTGGTTTTCTGACTTGTCTGATTCATCCTTTGATTTCAAAGGGGAAGACAGTTGGGATTCTCCAGTGACAGACTATAGGGACATTAAAAATGATTCTGTGGCCAGACTAATCTTGGAAACAGTGAAAGAGGACAATAAGGAGAAGAAGCGGGAAAACAAAAGCCGGGAGAAGCGAGACTACAGTGAAAAACGGAGCGACAAAGATGCTTTCTTTAGGAAGAAAGACAGGGACTATCTGGATAAAAACTCTGAGAAGAGAAAAGACCAAATTGAAAAGCATAAAAGTATACCCAGCTACCTTTCAGAAAAGGACAAAAAGAGGAGAGAGTCTGCTGAAGGCGGGCGGGACAGAAAGGACAGGGATCTAAGTGACATCTGCAGGGACAGAAAGGACCCTCTGGAGAGCACCAAGGAGCGGAAGGACAGCAGGGTGAAGGCCGAGGAGACCTACAGGGAAGACCTGAAGGAGTACGGCTGTGACAGCATATTCAAGGACAGGGCCGATTGTGACTTTGGGAAGCCGCTGGAGCCCTGGGAGAGGCACCATCCAGTGAGAGAGAAGGAGAAGAAAGACAGCCTGGAGAAGGAGCGGAAGGAAAAGACAAAGTTAGAAAAGTACAAAGAGAAGTCCAGTGACAAAGATAAAAGTGAAAAATCGAGCCTTGAAAAGTGTCAGAAGGACAAAGAATTTGATAAATTAAGTTTTAAAGAGAAAAAAGATACTAAAGAAAAACATAAAGACATCCATAGCAAAGACAAGGAACGAAAAACACCTCTGGACCAAATTAAAGAAAAGAAGGAGAAGAGCTTCCCCGGAGTTGCCTCGGAAGACTTCTCTGAAAAGAAGGATGATAAACGGGGGAAAGAGAAGAGCTGGTACATTGCAGACATATTCACAGATGAGAGCGAGGATGACAAGGACGACTACGCAACGAGCGGGTTCAGAGTTGGAGAGGCCGGCGAGGCGCAGAGGGTGGACGGCCCCCAGGAGAAAGACGATGGGCGGGAGCCATACCCTGTCGACAGGCACCGGAAGCACTCGGCCGACAGGCAGCATGCGGAGAAGCAGAAGGAGAAGGAGCCCAAAGAAAAGAAAAAGGAGAAGGGAGCCGCAGAGGGGGCCAAAGACAAGAAGGACAGAGTCTCTGAAAAGCACAGGGAGAAGAAGGATAAAGAGTCTACAGAGAAATACAAGGACAGGAGAGACCGGACTTCAGTTGATTCCACTCAGGAAAAGAAAAACAAACAGAAGCCCTCCGAGAAGGTGGAGAAGAAGCCCTGTGCTGAAGACAAGGCCAAGAGCAGGCACAGGGAGAGGCCGGACAAAGAGCACTGCAGGGAGAGGAAGGCGTCGAAAAGTGCTGAGGCGGAGAAGAGCCTGCTAGAAAAGTTGGAGGAAGAAGCTCTGCATGAGTACAGGGAAGACTCCAACGACAAGATCAGTGAGGTGTCCTCTGACAGCTTCACGGACCGAGGGCAGGACCCAGGCCTGAGTGCCCTCCTGGAGGTGTCTTTCACAGAGCCTCTGGAGGAGAGGGTCAAGGACAACTGTCCACAGGAGAAGCTGAAGGAGAAAGAAAGGCACAGGCACTCTTCGTCCTCATCCAAGAAAAGTCACGATCGAGAGAGAGGCAAGAAAGACAAGTCCGAGAAGAAAGAAAAGAGCGATGACTACAAGGACCTTGGCAGCAGAAAGGACTCCAGCCAGTATGAGAAGGATTTCTTGGATGCTGATGCTTACAGTATTTCTTACAGTACGAAAACTGACATAGAAGATGAATTAGATAAAACTATTGAATTGTTTTCTACCGAAAAGAAAGATAAAAATGATTCTGAAAGAGAACCTTCCAAGAAAATAGAAAAGGAACTAAAGCCTTATGGATCCAGTGCCATCAACATCCTAAAAGAGAGGAAGAGACGAGATAAGCACCGAGAAAAGTGGAGAGACGAGAAGGAGAGACACAGGGACAAGCACGGCGACGGGCTCCTGAGACATCACAAAGATGAGCACAAGCCTGCAGTCAAAGATAAGGACAGTCCTCCAAGTTCCTTCAAAGATAAATCCAAGGATGAAAGCCTGAAACTCGGTGAGACCAAACTCAGAGAGAAATTCAAGGAAAATTTAGAGAAAGAAAAAGGTGACTCTGTAAAGATCAGCAATGGAAACGATAAGTTACCACTGTCTAAAGACCCAGGCAAGAAGGATGTCAGGCCCAGAGAGAAGCTTCTGGGAGATGGCGATCTGATGATGACCAGCTTCGAGATAATGCTCTCCCAGAAAGATCTGGAGATTGAAGAACGTCACAAACGGCACAAAGAAAGAATGAAACAGATGGAGAAGATGAGGCACAGGTCTGGAGACCCTAAGCTCAAGGAGAGGATGAAGCCAGGTGAGGACATGAGGAAGAAGAGTCTGGATGCTCTTCCAAAGAAGCCACTGGGGCTGGACCCTGCCCTTAAAGACAAAAAGCTCAAGGAGTCGGCTCCTGCTCCACCAGTTCCGGAGAATAAGCCCCACCCGGGACCAGCTGTGGACGCCAGAGACTGGTTGGCAGGGCCTCATATGAAAGAGGTCTTGCCCGCTTCTCCCAGGCCTGACCAGAACCGGCCCACTGGGGTGCCCACCCCTGCATCGGTGGTATCCGGCCCCAGCTATGAGGAAGCGATGCACACGCCCAGGACCCCATCCTGCAGCACTGACGACTATCCTGACCTCATATTTGACTGCACAGACCCCCCACCGGTCTCCAGCACAGCTGCCAGCGCCTGCTCCCCACCCTTCTTTGATAGATTCCCTGTGGCAGCAAGTGGGATTTCAGAAACCCAAAGCCAGACACCTACAAGGCCTCTGTGCACAAACCTTTATCGTTCAGTCTCTGTCGATATCAGGAGGACTCCTGAAGAAGAATTCAGCATTGGGGACAAGCTTTTCAGACAGCAGAGTGTCCCTACTGCATCTAGTTACGACTCACCAGGGCAGCACTTGGAGGACAAGGTCCCTGTGCCCCCAGGTCCCCCGGAGAAGTTTCCCTGCTTGTCTCCAGGGTACTATTCCCCAGACTATGGCATACCCTCCCCCAAGGTGGACACTCTGCACTGCCCGCCCACAGCCGTGGTCACCAACACCCCATCCCCAGAGGGTGCCTTCTCTGGTTTACAAGCAAAGTCCCCCAGTTCGCACAGAGATGAGCTGTTGGCTCCATCCATGGAGGGGGCCCTTCCCCCTGACTTGGGCATTCCCCTGGATGCCACAGAGGACCAGCAGGCCACCGCTGCCATCATCCCCCCCGAGCCCAGCTACTTGGAGCCCCTGGATGAGGGCCCCTTCAGCACGGTAATCACAGAGGAGCCGGTTGAGTGGGCTCATCCCGCTACCTCGGAGCAGGGCCTCTCTTCCAGCCTAATTGGGAGTGCCCCCGAAAACCCTGTCAGCTGGCCCGTGGGGTCAGAACTTATGCTTAAGTCTCCACAGAGATTCCCAGAGTCCCCAAAACATTTCTGCCCTGCCGATTCCCTCCACCCAGCTGCCCCTGGGCCCTTCAGCACCACAGAGCCCCCTTACCCGGTCTCCCCTGTCCCATACCCTCTGTCGGTCCCTGAGCCAGGACTTAAGGAAGTCAAAGATGCCTCTGCAGAAGCAATCCCAGCAGCCATCTCCACTGCAGAAGAACCAGCCCCTTTCGTCCCTTCCTCCAGGCTTGAGTCCTTCTTTAGTAACTGCAAGTCACTTCCTGAAGCACCCCCTGATGTGACCCCAGAGCCTGTGTGTATGACCACTGTGGCTCAGGTGGAGGCTCTGGGATCTCTGGAAAATACCTTCTTGGAAAATGGCCACAGTCTCTCTGCACTTGGCCAGGTGGAGCCGGTGTCCTGGCCCGATGCCTTCCCCAACTCTGAGGACGACCTGGACCTGGGGCCCTTCTCACTGCCAGAGCTTCCTCTGCAAACTAAAGATGTTTCAGATGTCGAAACAGAACCTGTAGAAGAGAGTCCTCTTGTTCCTCCAGAAAGTACCCCTGCAGGGGCCCCTGTGGTCCTTAACGGTGGGGATGTGGCTGCATCAGCTGCAGAGGAACAGCTAGTGCTGTCTCCTGATCAGGCAGCTACCCGGCTCCCTGCTGAGCCCGAGCCCTCGCCTTCGCCTGAGCCCTTGCCTTCAGAAGGGCCAAAGCCAGACATGATTCTGGAAACCATGGTGGAAGCAGAGGCTGTGTCAGAGGGGAGGGCCCCTGAGGCCTCTGACTCCAGCTTGGGGCTCACACCAGCCCCCCTAGAGCAGCGTCCACCAGGTAGTGGAGATGAGGAAGAGGGCCTAGATCCCTTGGCATCATCCCACAGCACACCTGAGCTCCCTGGGGATGACCCTGCACAGGCACAGGTTGTGAATGGGGCTGGCCCTCATGACAGTGCTGGGCTTGAGGGGCCTCCAGGAAGCGCCCAGCCTGAAACCACAGAACCAGAACACAGACCCACAGCTGAAATCCCGAAGGCCCCCAAAGTGGAGGAGATCCCACAGCGCATGACCAGGAACCGGGCTCAGATGCTGGCCAACCAGAACAAGCAGAGTTCACCTACTTCTGAGAAGGAACCTGCCCCTGCCCCTACCCCCAGAGCAAAGGGTCGAGGCTCTGAGGAGGACGACCCCCAGGCCCAGCACCCGCGCAAACGCCGCTTCCAGCGCTCCAGCCAGCAGCTGCAGCAGCAGATGAACACATCCACACAACAGACACGGGAGGTGATCCAGCAGACGTTGGCTGCCATCGTCGATGCCATAAAGCTGGATGATATTGAGCCCTACCACAGTGACAGATCCAACCCGTACTTTGAATACTTGCAGATCAGGAAGAAGATCGAGGAGAAGCGAAAGATCCTCTGCTACATCACCCCGCAGGCACCCCAGTGCTATGCTGAGTACGTCACCTATACGGGCTCCTACCTCCTAGATGGCAAACCGCTCAGCAAGCTGCACATCCCTGTGGTGAGTGCCAGGGTGGAGCCCCAGCCCCCAAGGGTGCCAGTTGACTGGAGTCAGGACCCTGTTTGCTGTGTATATGAATGCAAATGCCAAACCGTTGGGATGCCAGAGCTTGGAGTGGGTGCGGTACCACCTTGGACCACCCTCCAATATGGAGGTCCATGTTGACAGCCCTTCTGGGTCTGGAGAACCACTTTCCTCTTTGTCATTCGTCATTTTTCCTATGTCAGCACCCCATCTAGTGCCTGACTGGGTCACTGAGTGCCCTTGGGTCCATTCCCACACCCTCTTGACTGTCACCCAGCTCCCTGTCTGCTGCGGCTGTGCCCTGCAGACGTCCAACTACAGCCAACCCTGGTGCTGCTCAGTCCCTGGTCTCCCCAATGTCTTCACCTGGGACTGTAGCTGACCAAGGCCCCCACCTCCATGTTGGGCACACCTGCAGAGCATTCTCCCTTTCTGTAGCTCAGTGTCTCCTCTCAACTCCTCCCCTTTTCCCCCCCACATAAAAGTTCTTAGTTTATTAGTCCTCTCATGAAAAGCCTGCACAACCACCACAGATAAAGTCACTGAAGAACCTGTACTACTTCTGTCATCCAGTCTCCAGCTCACTTTTGGCAGCACCATCAGTTGCCTCTGCAGTTCCCGACTTTCTTCATGCTGTTCCTGCGTTCCTTTCTCTGCTTCCTTGAGGTCTTCTCATACAGGCCATGTCTTGCAAGTCTATGTTTGGGTTCATTTTTGCATAATCCAAGGAACCATAAATCATGCCAAAGCCAGCTGTCTTGCCACCACCAAAATGGGTTGTGAATCCAAATACAAAGGTGACATCTGGTATGATCTTACACATTTTGGCTAGTTTTCTCCAACTTTGCCTTAGGTACTGCTGCCTTCCCAGGAAAAAGGACGTCAATGACCATTTGTTTCTGCTGAAGTGGTCTGTTGGTCATGAACTTCCTGGCCCGGAGAGTTAACTGTGCCATTCATGATGGTGGCCGATCTTCAAGCAGCCAAGGAGAGAAAAGAGCTCCTCTTAACAGCTAAAGGCCTGCACGGGGATGTATGGCCTGGCTTCAACCCCCGCCCCTCACCCTTGAACTCCTCCACACTTCTTGTCCTGGTTCCCAGTGGTTCCATGTTACTGACCTGAGGCCAGGTCTCAGCTCTCATCACACTGGAGCCCTGAGTGACCCTGGCACCTTTGCCACCTCCTCAAAGCACACCCTTCATTGGGCTTCCAGGCTTCTCCACCCAGCGGACCTGTCCTCAGTCAGCACCCCACCCGCCTCTCAGCACTGTACCCAGGGCCTCCATCTCCTTTCATTGGCCCCATTCCCTTGGTGGCTCACCCTCCACCTTGATCTGATGACTCATATCTGCAGATGAGACAGTTTAATCCCTGCCGTACACAACACCCTCCACCCTTATCCTCATGCTCATGTCTGGGTCATCAGCAAATCCATCCATACAGGGTTCTGCAGGTTAGCATCTCCCATGTCACTGCTTGTCTCACTCCTCCCTCTTGCCTAGGCCGGCTTCTGCTTCCTCCTTGCCCACTGGGGTCTGTTCTCAGCACAGCAGGTANCCATGTCTTGCAAGTCTATGTTTGGGTTCATTTTTGCATAATCCAAGGAACCATAAATCATGCCAAAGCCAGCTGTCTTGCCACCACCAAAATGGGTTGTGAATCCAAATACAAAGGTGACATCTGGTATGATCTTACACATTTTGGCTAGTTTTCTCCAACTTTGCCTTAGGTACTGCTGCCTTCCCAGGAAAAAGGACGTCAATGACCATTTGTTTCTGCTGAAGTGGTCTGTTGGTCATGAACTTCCTGGCCCGGAGAGTTAACTGTGCCATTCATGATGGTGGCCGATCTTCAAGCAGCCAAGGAGAGAAAAGAGCTCCTCTTAACAGCTAAAGGCCTGCACGGGGATGTATGGCCTGGCTTCAACCCCCGCCCCTCACCCTTGAACTCCTCCACACTTCTTGTCCTGGTTCCCAGTGGTTCCATGTTACTGACCTGAGGCCAGGTCTCAGCTCTCATCACACTGGAGCCCTGAGTGACCCTGGCACCTTTGCCACCTCCTCAAAGCACACCCTTCATTGGGCTTCCAGGCTTCTCCACCCAGCGGACCTGTCCTCAGTCAGCACCCCACCCGCCTCTCAGCACTGTACCCAGGGCCTCCATCTCCTTTCATTGGCCCCATTCCCTTGGTGGCTCACCCTCCACCTTGATCTGATGACTCATATCTGCAGATGAGACAGTTTAATCCCTGCCGTACACAACACCCTCCACCCTTATCCTCATGCTCATGTCTGGGTCATCAGCAAATCCATCCATACAGGGTTCTGCAGGTTAGCATCTCCCATGTCACTGCTTGTCTCACTCCTCCCTCTTGCCTAGGCCGGCTTCTGCTTCCTCCTTGCCCACTGGGGTCTGTTCTCAGCACAGCAGGTAGAGATGCTTTTACATTGGAGCTAGATTTCTGCCCTCCTCTGCTCAGCCACAACCTTTTTGGCCTTTGAGAACTCTAGCTTAATGTGCTTCTCAGGAGTCGCCCGTTCACATAGTGTACAGCTGACTTGCTTCATTTCTTTGACCCTTCCATCCCTTTGAAGAAAAGCCAGGACTTCTGTTTGTCTATTAGGCCCAGAGTGAGCCTCAGTTAACAGCTGTTGAAAGGATGCTGGTCAGGGTGAGCCGATTCCCCGGGGCTTGGGGAAGGCCCACACATCCAGTCTCAGAGGGAACTTCCTGTCCCAAAGGAGTGTCATGTTGGATGCATGTGTTCTGTCAGACCTTGGTGTTCCAAAAAGTCGGTGTCTATGCTGGCTTTCCATCTGGCAGAAAGCTCAGCTATCCAGGACTGATGCCCAGCATCTTCTGAAGGAGGATGAGTGGCTCTGACATCAGGTTCAATGGCTGAGGCCTGGGGGCACAGCCACAGGGGCCACTACCTTCCCCGCCCAGCACTTTGTTCCCAGGGAGCAGGGCTAGCTTTGAATCGAGGATGTCATTGGCATCACTCTCTCTTCTCCTGGTACACTAAGCTTGAGCTGCCCTCGGGACAGGGACTGAGGCAAACCTGCCTTTGTCTGGCCTGGGAGGATCTAGCTGCCTGGCTTCATCTGGGTCACTAGATTCAGAAAAATCTGGCATAAGATTTGTTTGGTGAGACTTTTTGTTGTTTAAATTTTAGTTACTAAAATAAAGGAGTACCGTGACCACCATACAAAGTTTAGAAAATAAAACAGTAGAAGTCACTGTACTACTACCCAGGGTTTACCCTTTCAGTGGTCTGTGCATCTCTACTTCTACTGGATTCATGCCTTTCTAGAAGAAGGTCCTTTACTTCCTGTTACCACCTAACTGAGTACCCAGCCTGTTAGGTGAGGGCAGGCAGAGGTCAAGTGTTCTGGATTTCTCACCAGGCCAGAGACAAGGGGCTGCCACTATGCAGCTCGAGGCTGAGGCCTTGTTCCAGCAGCTGTGGTACCAGGTCCTGGTACTTTCTCTTGAGGATCCAGAAATGGTGGTGCCTTAGAAATACTAAAACCCGAAAACAAGAAAGGCTTACACCTAGCTGCGCCACTGTGTTTGTCTTCCCACCTGGTACCACCTATGGGCGGCCGAGGTAGAGTCAGAAGGAGGAGACACACTAGGGCCCCATAGGGTCTGGGTCCTTTGAGGCAAAAGGGATGGAGCAGGGCCTGATGAGTGAGGTGTGCCAGTGAAGAGACCACCTAGATGTTCTAATGTCTTATTTTGAGCTAATTTTAGACTGACAAAGTTGAAAGCACAGTGTGTATATGTGCCCCTCACTGGGCCCAGGGATGCTGCATCTCCTCCTGGGTCTCCTGGGCTGTGGTTGGTCACCCACCCCTTGTCTTCCTTGAAAGGCACAGTTTGATGACACTTTTGAGGAATATTGATTTGGGATTTGGTCTTACGTCCACAACTGGACTGAATTTTTGGTGAGAATGCATAGATGTGACGTGACGTCTTGGTGTGTTGTGCCTTGTTCTTGGTGTCAGCAGTTGCATCGTGATGACAGTGGCTCAAGTCTCCTACCATCTCCACTGTGCAGTTACTGTCTTTCCCGTCATAGTTGATAAATATCTTGGGAAAGATACCTTGAGACTCTTAAGTCCTGTTTTCCTTGAGCTTGTGCCCACCGATTTTAGTCTCCGTAGTGGATCTTTTCTGTAGCAGACATTCCTGTGGCGTTGGTCTAATGCTGATTTTCTACTTCCCTCTCTCTTAAGTTTATTGATTGGAATGCTCCTGTAATCCAACATGAATCACCATTACTTATTTTGTGTGCAAATTGTTCCAGCCTTTGGTCATTAGGAGCTCCTTCAGGTTGCCCCATCTTTCTGAGCATGTTCTCAGTTTACAGTCTTACAAGATGTTCCAGCTGAGCCCTGTAATTAACCACGTGGACGCTTTTAGTGGGAATGGTCTTTAGAAACCACATCTTAGGTGTAGGATGTGCTCACTGTCCTGGGTGACACAGCCAGGCTTGGTGTTTACTCTGCATCCCTCCATCTGATCTAATTGAAACCTTGACTTCACCCTGTGCTTGCATCTTCCTTCTTTGAGAGAGAGACTTGGTGCTTCTTACTTATAGTGTTTACTGGCCTGTTCACTCCCAGTATACGTGTCTTGTTTCGCAAGTGCTGGCCCACCCACGAAATGCCTGCACTAGTTAGAAGATGGCCTTTGTGGGTGGTTCTTCTGGTCTTTTGCCTCATGACATCTTTTCCAAAGTGACCCAGGTGAGCACTCTCTTCCCCGCACTCTGACCCCCAGTAGGACAGTCAGGCTTTGTTGTTCCATGTTGGCACCTGCATCCCATTTGGTGTTAGGGTTTGTTTAGGGGACATAAAACCTCACTATTAATAAACAGTCCAGCGTCATCCTCCTCTCCTCTGTCCCGTGTGCTCCTCTTCCACCTGTCATACTTCTTATGCACAGACAATACACCGTATGTGTTCTGATCTTTCTTGCATGAATGGCAGCAGTGTAGACATTCTATACTTTGCTTTACACACTTCACACCATCTCTGGAACTCATTCCCCCTCATTGCTCCTTTTGGGGCCAGGGTCTGTGCTCTAGTTCATTCACCTGCTCTCATGTACAAGCATCTAGTTGTTTCCAGGAATTACCTGTGCATCTGCATTTCGTGTGAACAGAGGTGTGTCTTCAGGGTAGACTTGGTCGGTGTTGTTGGTGCAGCTTCCTAGCCTCTACTAACCCCGCCCTCTCACCCTTTGTGACTACAGATTGCTCCCCCTCCCTCCTTGGCGGAGCCCCTGAAGGAGCTATTCAAGCAGCAGGAGGCTGTGAGGGGGAAGCTGCGCCTGCAGCACAGCATTGAGCGGGTAAGAAGAGATCTTGGGTCGGGGATTTTGGGCCTGGGATGTATCTGGCCGTGTTAGGATTGGCTCATATGGTTTCTGTCCTCCAGGAAAAGCTTATCGTCTCCTGTGAACAGGAGATCCTGCGCGTTCACTGTCGGGCGGCAAGGACCATCGCGAACCAGGCGGTGCCATTCAGTGCCTGCACCATGCTGCTGGACTCTGAGGTCTACAACATGCCTCTGGAAAGTCAGGTCAGTGCTGTTGGCAAGGCTCTGCACTCACACTTGTTTCCTAAGAAAAGCTGGGCTTTCCAGACTTTGGCTACATACATATGCAGGATCAGGAAACACCCACATCCCATAAACTCTATTCTGATCACATGATCGGGTCTGCCCTCAAGGCGGGTAGGCAGGGGTGATCAGACAGCAGTACATGTAATGCTGATGTCATGAGATGCTGCATGGGTTCTTTGAGGCTCCATTCTAGGGTCCTCACGAGCTGAGACTCTTAGGTCACTGGGTTGGACTGCGCCTCAGTTTCAATCACTTAAGAGTTAAATTTTCCTCTAAAACATAGATATGATTAGGATGAGCTGCACCCAGAGCTGCTGCATAAATAGCCTTCTACAGCAAAGGCCCCATAGGAGGCTATCATGCTGGGGACAGTGGTGGTCTTGCACCAGCATAGTGACAGTGGCAGCAAGGCCCTTGGCTGCAGGGCCAAGAGGTGTGGGAGCCTGGGGCTGCTTAGCATAGCAGTGGTTCCCTCCCTACTCCCCAGAGTCCTGTTAGAACTTACCCGCTGGTCTGGTACAGGCTGGGCAGCAGAGCTCAGAGCACTGTCCATCTGCCTCATCCACCCCAGCTCGTCATCCTGGCTCCCTACACCCCAGGGTTAGATTTGTCCCATGTGGTCATCCCCTTTGCTTCCCCCACCCAACCTGACCTGTCATTAATATGTGGGCACACCTGCCCCTGTAGGCCTCCCTGCCTTTGTCTGCTGGGGTGCAAGACTTTGCCATTAAGTGGCTGCCTGTTGGCAACCCCCAGCTTCAGCAGTTTTCAGTTGCCTCTTGACCAGTCCATGGACATGGTTAAGATTTAACCTGTGCAAAGTGGGCTCTCTTTCCCCCATTATCTATTCTGAGCCTGGCTCTTCCCACCTCCTGCTGCCCGACACACTCAGGCCTGGCCTCCTGAGGCTGTCTGACCTGGGTTTTACTCCCCAGTTTATTTTCTTCCCAAACAACTGCTGGGACTTTTTTAGAAACAACCCAGTGTGCATCATTCTGGGCCTGTCCTGCCCTCTGCTTCTTGGCCTTGTGCCCCTGCTCATATTGACTTTCCCAGAATACTGTTGTCCCCTCTTGGGCCTCTCCTGGCCCCTTCACTGTTCAGGCCTTGGCGCAAAGTCCCCTCCTGGCCCCCTGGCTGGCATGAACTCCTGCTGTGTCAGGATCACATGGACCCCTGGGTTGTAAGCAGCATTTCTGGGTTGGCTATGGCTGTGTGGTAACATACAGTGGTTCAGTGGTTTTTAAAATTTTTTTTTTTTTTACTAGTAAATTAAAGGTTTTTCCATTCACTTAACATACACTCTTCAAGGATATACATTTGAAAGATTCCCCATTTAACATACTATGTATCACAAATTTTTCCTAAAGCAAAACATTTGTCAACAAACTATAATAAAACAAAATATTTGGTTGGGGATCAAGTGATTACTTCCGAGTTAGGTGTTTGAAAGTTTTACATCTAAAAGAAAAGGAATCTGCTGATCTTTAAGGGATTTCCTGCATTCCTTTTGAATGTACCAGAGAGAAGGCCTTAGGTTACAGCTTCTCCCTGTCAAGTATGTTGGTGTGGGGCCTGGGCTCAGCCACCAGGTGGTTGGTTGCACATGTACCTGTGGCTGAGAGACTTTCACATGTTCTCAGCATGCCAACCACCCCAACATCCAAGGAGAACCAGACAGCAGGAATCTGAAAACTACCTGCTCCATCGTCTCCTGGTCCCTCCTAAGGCATCCCTGTTTGTAAACCGCAGTCCCATCGCAGGCAAAGATGCTGCTGTACTCAAGGTAGCACTCCTACAGAGTGAAACCAGGAGGTTGGCCCTCAACCACCCTTTACAAAGAAAAAAAAATACTTTCAGTGTTTACAAACTGAAGTTGTTAAAACAGAGGCCATGGCCAGTTCTACCATGCACCTGTGTGTGGCCTGCAAAAGCAGTGCAGGCCAGAGACGGAGGGCTTCCCAATTGTTTCCTCTGTGGGAATCGTGACAGACATATAGAAAGCCCTCTTGTGGGGGAGGTCCCAAGTCACCCCCCCAGGGTAGTTCCACCACAGAGAGCGTCCAGATGGCCCCACAGCCTCCTAGGCATGTTATACAAGCTATATGGGGAAGAAGGGGACCAAGGGTCACACTGGTCTGTCCTTGAGCATGATTACAACGTGTGGATTCTTCACGTAGGAAGGAGAATCTGAAGCACCCTGGAGGTTTGCCTTCTTTCTTGTTCCCCATCAAATGACCAGATTTGATTTCTTCTCCAGGGTGACGAGAACAAGTCTGTGCGAGATCGGTTCAACGCCCGCCAGTTCATCTCCTGGCTCCAGGATGTAGATGACAAGTATGACCGCATGAAGGTGAGTGTACTGTACTCCCCCTCAAACTGCACCTGGGCTGGGAGCCCGCAGGAGTCTCCTGGGGTGGGGGGAGGCTGCTGCTGGGTCCCATGTTTGGAGGTGACAGTTTCAGACTCTCTGAACCCAGCTGATACTTTCAGGGTCTCCCCACCCCCATGTTGCCTCCTTAGAGTGTCTTCCCTCCTGTCCAGGTGTGCGGGGAGCAGCTCCTGTCACCAGCTGGCGGTCAGACCTCTGTGGGACCCCACCTTGAGCCCTCCTCAAAGGTCACAGCTTACACCCATCACCACTGCTCTGGACGTTCTGACCAGTGCAGCAGCCAGAGGATGGGTGGGAGATAGAAAGATTAGCAAGTAAGAAGCACGTCCTTATCTTCAGTTGCTAGTGTTGCACATGGGTATGGGGCCACTCATGAGAACCAGTGTATGACTTAACACTAATGTGCCAGTTACAGAATTAACACACAAGTCAGCACCACCCTGGGAAGCTCCATGAGGCAGGGCCTGCTGCTCTTCTCACTAAGCGCTACAGAGCTGGTGGAGGGGAACCCAAAGCTTCCCCATTCCAACCCTGTGTTGCCTGTACTTGGAGGGTAAGACAGTGTTTCCAGGATGCCAGGTTTATCCTTGCCCCTTACCTCAATGACCCATGACCATGGTGCCACAGCAGTGTACACAGATGCCACACGGGGTGGACAGAAATCACAGTGCAGAGAACAGTGAGCCCATGTGGCATTTCAGGCCCCAGCGTCTCATCATGATGTGGGTGTGGGTGCATTTGAGGTGAGGCCCAGCTCCAAGGTGACAATACAGAGCCACACCACTGCTCTCTGTCTGCAGCGGCCACACTTGAAGGGAGCCACAGGGAACATTTTCCTATAATGTGGTTAAAAATTCTCTCTTTTTAAAGTTAGACTTTACTTTAAAAAGGCTACATAAGTCCAGTTTCCTTACCGTGCAAACTAACTTACAAATGAATAAGAACAAAGGTGGATAGAAAACGATCCGTGAAGGGTGTAGAGGAGTAAACCTGGGGGTGGGAGACGTGGAGTCGGTGCACGAAGATGGGGCAGCCATGCTCTGTGTGACCACTCGTTTCAGAACCACAGGTTAGACTAGATCCTACTTAGAAGACAGACTGACTCCTCCCCTGCAGGGTCCTGCAGTCTGGGACAAGTGTCACTTGGTAGTTTTGTGTGGTAAACAGTATCTATGAAATTTCACAGTGTTTTGGCCACCTAGCTTAGCAAGTTCCCTTTAGTTGTTTAAACCTCAGAGTAAAAAAAAAAGTTCATTGGAACAACCCAATGAAACAGAAACCCAGAAGTCCATCAATGATTCTGTGATTAAATGGAGTATGGGAACATCTGAAGATGGAATTACTACAAAATATTTCAAAGTAGACAAACACAGCATGACCTGTGAGGGTATCTGAGCTGTTTCATGAAGAGGCCCAGGGCCCATCCTGAGGTTCAGACACATTCCAGCAGACGTGTGAAGACACTGTAGAGACATGGCTGCTACACTGCAGCACTCAGTGGTTATTTCCAGAAGACTAAAGATGGAGGACTTTTATTCCCCCTGGCTCTCAACACACTTTTTAAAAAACAATTATTTTAAAGCAAATTATATGTTGTGATATTCCATCCCAGATATTTGTGTTTACAGCTAAGAAAAGATTATTTTACTGTACAGTCACTAACATTGTCAAACTTTGTTAATCCAAAGTATGGTCTACTACCTGACCATGTTTAAATGCTCTTTGTTCCCAAAATGTGCCCAAACCCAGGTCCACAGGTGCTACATCTGGTTATGTCCCATTTCAGTAATCCAGTGAGTCGTCATTTCAGTTTTAACTTTGTACCTACTTAATATGATATAGTACCTATATATAATAATATAGGTACCTAATAATATACCCACATAAAGATTAAACACTTCAATACTTAACCCTAGATAACCCTTTTTAAAAAGTGTACTTTTATAAGATATAACTTCCATTATAAATGCAAATGAAATCAGTATCACCACCTATAAATAAGAATTGTAAAACAAAAACAAAAGAAAATCAGTTGCAAATTCTAATTAGATGCTGTGAAATCCATGGAGGGTAGGGACAGGGAGCAGGGATAGTCTCTTCATGTGGTCAGCAAGACCACTCACGGCAGGATGAGGCAGCCAGGGGTGGTGAGGTGCCCTGTAGGATGTCACTGTGGGCCATGCAGAGGGGCAGGCCATCCTGTAGCCAGAGCTTGGCCCAGGTCCCTCAACCTGTCCTCCCATTGGGTATTGCAGCAAGGTGAGTGGGCAGTGGGGGCCCAGGCCCCAGTTCTCTTACTTGGGGGGTGGGCCAGGGTCTTTCCTCCACTTCCCTCACCTGCTGTGCTTTCCCTGCAGACGTGTCTCCTGATGCGGCAGCAACATGAGGCTGCGGCCCTCAATGCTGTGCAGAGGATGGAGTGGCAGCTGAAGGTCCAGGAGCTGGACCCTGCCGGGCACAAGTCCCTGTGTGTGAATGAGGTGCCCTCCTTCTACGTTCCCATGGTAGATGTCAACGATGACTTCGTGCTTCTGCCAGCCTGATGCACCATAGGACAGCTGCACAGGACACAAGCAAGGGCCACATGGGTCAGCCCAGCACTGCTGCCGAGTCCAGGTGGCGGAAGGAGACCTTGTCCCTCAGGTGGGAACACCCAGGGAAAACCCTGCATTTTGCCCCTGGAGCACGTCTCTTTTATACCAGCTGCCGAGGGAGGACAAGGAGACCTCGGGGACACGGACTTGGCGGCCTTGGGGTCTGTTTTCCAGCCAGCTGCACGGGCATTTCAGGAGCTGTAGAACGGATTGCGTTTTTAAAAATTTCTTGTTCCATTCTGATCAACTAAAGGAAATAAAATTAAGGCGTCCACTCCTCACAAACAGTGATCTTCAGGTCAGAGGGCAGGGAGAGTGCCATCCTTGCTGCTGTCCTGTTGCCATGGAGCTGCTGACAGCCACAGGCCTCGGATTGGGGCTGGGACGCTGTGCTGTGCGAGGGCCAGCTGCGCCGCCCACCTGCCCGCCACAGAGGGACACAGAGCCAGGACTCTCCGGTTGTGTTTTTAATGGAGTCAAATCCACGTGGTTTGTATATTTTTTCCTTTAATCTTGGGCATTTTGTTTCTCTTTCTGAGAACATAACTTGAAACACTACAGAGCCAATAATCATATAAAAAGTGTACCCGTAAACGCTGTACAGTTTTATACACATTCACAATGTACTTTTTGCTGCCTTCTAGATAATTTATTTTGCAACACATTACTGCACAGTTGTAAATAACTTATGTACTGTAACATCACTTCAGTTATGTGTAAAGAAATAAATAAATTAATTAAATGCTCTTTGTACATGACAGTCCCCTCCCTGGGAGGGGCCAATGTACTGGACTGTGAGATGAGGGGTTGCTTCACTGAAAAACTCCATTGTCTTAAACTTTTTCCTCCCATATGATTAGCTTTTATTGTTATTACTATTTTAAATATGTTTTTGATTTCAGAGAGAGGAACGGAGAGAGAGGGAGAGAAACATCAGTGACGAGAGAGAATCATCGATCGGCTGCCTCCTGCACGCCCCCCACTGGGGATGGAGCCCGCAACCTGGGCATGTGTCCTGACCGGGAATCGAATCATGACCTCAGGTTCATGGGTCAAGGCTCAACCACTGAGCCACACTGGCCTGGCCCAAATGATTAGCTTTTAATTTTCAAACACATTATACAGTTGACCCTTGAACAATATAGTCAAAACTCTGAGTATAACTTTTGACTCCCTCAAAGCTTAACTACTAATAGCCTACTGTTGACCAGAAGCCTTACAAGTAACATAGTTGATTAACACATATTTTGTGTGTTATACTATATACTGTATTCTTACAATAAAGCTAGAAAAAAGATATTAAAATCAGAAGATACATTTACAACATTTATGGGAACAATCCACACATAAGTAGACCTGTGCAGTTCAAACCTGTGTTGTTAAGGGTCAAATGTATTTTCCCTCCTTTCTGCCACTACTGGAAACTGAAGGGCTATCCTCTGCTGCCCCAGTAGCTGCTCAGTTCACGATGGGGTGGAGTTAGTTGGGGAGGCTGGGTGCCAAAGTCTGTTCTTCACATCCCACACCCCAGGCAGACAACAAGGGCCTGGGGCAGAGCCATCGGCTTCTGTAAAATACTGAGGCTTTCACCCTGCTGAGGAGATGGAGGGCATGGAAACAGAGGACCAGCCCTTGGCTGCCAAAAACATAACAGGATGCCTGTGTCATCTGTCATGAGGGGCCTGTCAGAAGTAGGCAGGAAAGCAGTCACTCGCTGCTGGGGCAGCAGGTCGTCTGGGCAGCTTGGCCTTGAAGAGACCACTGTCCAGGCCTGACCAGCTCTCACTTCCTGGCTCACCTGTTCCCTGTGCTGAGAGCGCTTCTGCTTGGGGCTGAGTCTGCATTGCTAGAAGGCTCTCCAATGAGGCAGCAGGTTGTATGGGGCCCCCACTTTAAGAACTCCAGTGCTAATAGAAAACCAGCTCTAAGAACGAGTTGGAGGTTTGAGCCCAGTGTGTTCCAGGAGGGGCTGGGGCATTACACAGAGCAGAAAGGACATTTGCACCCTGTGCCCCTCTCCAAGAAGGCCACCTGAAGGAACGGGTGGCTCCTGGGTGTGCCAAATAGTCTGGGGGTGTGCGGGGGCCGCCTTCTGAGTAGGAACTCCCAAAGTGGATTTTTTCCCTAGACCACCCTTACCCTGTCCTGCCTACAACTCCTGTTCTGACAGAGAGTTGGCTCCCCAACACCTGGGGTGCTGCAGGAATGCAGTGTGTGGAGACGGGCCCAGGCAGCAGAGTCTGGATAGACCTTTTCCTTGCTTATGTCCTGGGATCCCTCCCTCTTCTCCTCTTTTAAGAGCTTCCTCTACCTGGAGAGTGCAGCAGCAGATGTAGGAAAGTCCACACACCCAGCTCTGCCTCTCAGTGTTCCAGAGCAAGATTCATGGTGCCATGTCCACTGCAGAACAGCCTGCTTGAAAGTGCACCCCAGAATGGCCTGAGGCAGCCTGTGCCATTTTCTACTCAGATGCAGGGAGGGCTCCTGGGCCTGCCCTGGCCTCTCCGGATTGCAGGCCATGGGCAGGACCTTGGTTTTACCAAAACACCTGGTGTGACCTTGTGGGACCCGTGCCTGAAATAACGGGGGGAGCACCCCCTCTTTACTTCTGACTGTTTTCTCCTTTGTGCAAATCCCCTCCAGGCTGGCTCCACCACTTGTGTATCTGGGAAGGGGAACAGACACACCAGCAAAGCTCCAGTGTATTTCCCAGGCAAAAATTAATTTTTTTGCTAATCACCGAACTCTGATCACAGAAACACTTCTTTTAAGACCTGCTTTTTCTTTTTAAAAAAATCCTCACCCAAGGATATGTTTTCATTAATTTTAGAGAGATAGGAAGGGAAAGAGAGAGAAACATCCACCAGCTGCCTCCCATGCAAGCCCAGACTGTGGATCGAACCCACGACCTAGGTATGTGCCCTGACTGGGAATCAAACCCACCACCTTTTGGTGCACAGGACAATTCTCCAACCAACTGAGCCACCGGGCCTGGGCAGCCCTGCTTCTTTGCTTCTTTTTTAAACGACATAAATGAACTTGGATTCATTCCCATGGACATGCCTTGGCATCAGCAGCTTAAGGCCACAACAGAAGTCTCAGAACCCCTGGCCCTGTGCATGTGGTCACCTGGGCAGCATGCACAGCCTGGTGGGCATCAGTGAGGTGCCCCAGAGAACATTTAAAAATAAATTCTAAAAACAAAAGGCTGTGATTCTGCTCCCAGTGTTCATTGGACTTGAGGAGTCGGTGCAGATTTTGTGTGTGTTTTTTTAAGATTTATTTTTTTAATTGATTTTTAGAGAGAATAAGGGAGAGGGAAAGAGAAACACTGATGTGAGAGCAAAACATGGATCGGCTGCCTCCTGCATAACCCCCACTGGAGATGGAGCCCACAACCCAGGCATGTGCCCTGACTGGGAATCGAGCCGGCAACCTTGCAGTGCACGGGATGACACCCAACCAGCTGAGCCACACCAGCCAGGGTCAGTGCAGGTATTTTTACAATACCGAGGAGTCTAGAATTGTTCCTGGTTGGAGATACTGCTGATGGTCCCTGAGGCCTGTGACTGCAGGTGTGAGCCCAGGAATATAAAATAGATTTCAAGATAATGAAGGTAATGAGACAAAGATGGACATTTTATAATGATAAAGGGGACACCACATCAGGAAGACATAACACTTCTTAATATATGTGCATCCAACCAGGGAGCACCAAAATATATAAAGCAGCTACTCACAGAACTAAAGGGAAAAACAGACAAAAACAGTCATAGTTGGGGACCTTAATACTCCATTGACAGCTCTAGAGAGATCACCCAAACAGAAAATCAGTAAATATCGGCCTTAAATGACACACTAGACCAAATGGACATAATAGACATGTACAGAGCCTTTTATCCCACAACGTCAGATTATACATTCTTCCCCAGTGCACATGGAACATTCTCAAGGACAGACCATATGAGGGGACACAAAACTAGCATCAACAAATTCAAAAAGGCTGAAATTATACCAAGCATATTCTCTGATCACATTGCTTTGAAATTAGGAATCAACTGCAAAAAGGAAGTAAAGAAACCCACAAATATGTGGAGATTAGACAACATTCTACTAAAATATCACTGGGTCAAAGAAGAAATAAAAGGTGAGATTTTTAAAAATGAGGACAAAACATATCAAAACGTCTGAGATGCAGTGAAAGCAGTAATGAGGGAAGTCTGTATCATTACAGGCCCGTCTCAAGAAATGAGAAATCCCAAGGAAACAACCTAACACTACATCTTAAAGAACTTGAAAGAGAACAAAAGCAGCCCAAAGTCATCAGAAGAAAGGAAACCATAAAAATTAGAGCAGAATTGCCTGGCTGGCGTGGCTCAGTGGTTGAGCATCGATCTAGGATCCAGGCGATCAGGTTTCAATTCCCGGTCAGGGCACATGCCTGGATTCCAGGCTTCAGCCCATCAATGAATGACTCTCTCATCATTGATGTTTCTATCTCTCTCTCTCCCTTCCTCTCTCTGAAATCAATAAAGACATATTTAAGAAAAAAGAGAATTGAATGAGAGAACAAAAAGACTATACAAGAAATTAATACAACAAAGGGCTAGTTCTTTGAAAAGATTAATAAAATTAACAAACCCCTGTCTAGACTCACTGAGGAAAATAGAGGAAAGACTCATAAACAAAATCAGAAATGGAAGAGGAGAAGCTACCACAGACATAACAGAAATACACAGATCATACTAGGAGACTATGAAAGACAAATTCAATAACTTAGAAGAAATGGATAAGTTCCTAGAAATATACTGTGGTACCTCGGTTTTCGAATGTCTTCTGTTCCGAAGGACCGTTTGAGTTCTGAAACGTTTGAAAACTGAGGGATCAGCAGCTGACAGCTAGGACCTTGCCTCAGGACCTTGCCCTCAGTGGGAGCTGTGTTGCATGTTCGACTCCTGAGGTGTATTTGAAAACCAATGCATTTCCTTCCAGGTTTACGGCGTTCTTAACCCGAAATGTTCATCAGTGAAGATGTTCGAAAACCAAGGCATCACTGTATAACCTCCCTAGACTGAATCATGAAAATCTGATGTGAGGAAATTGAAACAACCATTCACAAATCTCCAAAAAATATAAAAGCCCAGAACCAGATGGCTTCACCAGTCAATTCTACCAAACATTCAAAGAAAATCTGGAACCTATCCTCAAACTCTTCCAAAAAATTGAAGAGCCAATACTTCCTAACACATTTTATGGGGTCAACATAACCTTAATACCAAAACCTGGCAAGGAGAAAACACAAAAAAGAAAACTACAGACCAATATCTCAAACACAGATGAAAAAATCCTAAACACAATACTAACAAATCGAATACGACAATACATTTAAAGAAATAATACATCATGATCAAGTGGGGTTCATTCCAGGGGCACAAGGATGGTTCAGCATACACAAATTGATCAATGCAATACACATTAACAAAACAAAGGATAAAAATCATGTAATCTTACCGACAGATGCAGAAAAGCATTTAGTAAGATACAACATCCATTTATGATTAAAACAGTCAATAAAACAGGTATAGGAGGAAAGTACCTCAACATAATAAAGGCCATATATGACAAACCCTCAGCCAATATCATACCTCAATGGTGAAAAACTGAAAGCTTTTCCTCTAAGGTCAGGAACAAGACAAGGATGCCCACTCATCACTCCTATTCAGCACAGTTCTGGAAGTCCCAGCCACAGCAATAAGGCAAGAGAAAGAAAAGGCATCCAAATTGGGAAGGAGGAAGTAAAAGTG